CTGCGGAGATGATTCAGCGTCTGTGTTTGATTACACTAACGAGGAATCTTCATCTGTTTTTGAGCGTGAAAAGATTTTATTTCAGCATGTTTAGATATTTGAATATTAAATATTTACATTAAAGCTGGCAGTGGTGATGAAAACGGCCCCGTTAAAAAGTCCTTCTGGGAGCTGATATCACGTGTTACCAGTAGGTGGTGCTACTACTATGACATGATTTGTATTTAGATGAGCTCAGGTTAGCACCATCCTGAAACCTGGGAAATTTAGAGAGGATTGGGCAAAGCATGTGAAGGTTGGTACCATGTACTTCCATGAGGTGGCGCTATGACTGTAGCTGATGAATGACCATATAGATGTGTTAAAGTCATGGTTGACAATCGGAGAGATTGGTAATTATTATGATCCTCGTTTCTATGGCGATCATGGTCCTATAGTGCGATCTCCACAAAGTGAAGAGAAAAAAGAACGGAGAAAATCTGTTCACCCAAGAAGGTGCAGGGCTGCAAAAACATTGACCAATGGGAGCCATCCATCCTGTACAGCTCCTATTGGTCAATCTCCTGCTCCGCCTCTCCATCCAATCACATTGCTGTATTCAGCACACCCCTCTCCTGTAGTTCCGACTCGTCCCCTCCCACTCTCCTCGGAGCTCTGATTGGCTAAAATAGTGTAGCAGCTTACCTACAGGAGCTGAGATGGAGAAGGACGCAAAAAAAACACTTCTGTTCGCCCCACCGCCACTTGAAAAACGCAAGTCGACAGAGGAAATGTGACCAAGCGAGGAATCTAACTGGAATAAACATCGGGTCATCCTTGGAACGGTGGAGAAAGCTCCGCCAGGATTTGGTCCTGAAAACAGACGCTGAGACAGCAGAGTTTTAGTTGAACAGGTCATTTTTATCTCATTTTTTCGTGGCTCATGTTACATAAATAACTCTGATTAGTCTCTGACATGTCAACACGGTAGATGGCGCTCACTAGCAGAGCTGGCGTTTACTGCCGCTAGTCATTAACAATCCGACATGGTGAATCCTGTTTGAAGCTAGCGTACGATCTTCTGCCAGCCGGCTTCTCGCTCTGACAGAGGGGGCGTGTCGTGGGGAGGGCGATACAGGTTCAGGGTCATCAACCATGCCTTTAAAGGGTGGACCTTTAGAGTTAGATCGACTTCCTGTTTGAACAGGAAGTTCAAGTTTGTTCAAATAGGGACCCTGAAACTTCTGGACTTCCTGTTTTCTAAGTTGACTTTTTGTAGACCTTAGTATGATACATATAACCTGGTGAAAAGGCAGATTTTTGGAGGTTGGGGGCGCTGTTGAGCCGGTGATTCAGGAAAATCTTTGAAATATAAATGAGTTTGTGAAGTTTAGTGAATTTTGGAGCTCGTTAAGTACTTTAAATTTGTGATAATTAGGCAGAAAGAGGACTCCAAGAAGGCTCTCAACCGTCATGGGAAACTTTTTCTGGAAGTTTTCTGAAACTCGTGAAATTTTCCAAGTCCACACAAGTCTTCATAGGGTCCTGAAACCTGACCTATAAAAGGTTCTAAAAATTCAGTTTAATCACAAAATTGTTTCTTTTTTAGTTTCTACAACTTATTTCTCTTCTCACCAAACCTCATTGACAAAAATGAACATTTGAGGTTTGAATCCGTTATATTTACACTAAATCAAACCACCATTGAATATAAATGAATGGAGGTGAACAGAGGAGAAAATTGGGAATTTTCAGGGCAGCAGGTCTGATTTGTAGGTTCATTCTCTGTACGTGGGGCGAGAACCAGCTCCGATATCCTGCATATGTTGAATGAAAAAAGGCCACAGATTTATCTTTTTGTACTTGAAGGCTTTAGAAGTCATGAATAATAATATGTGCGGCGATGATAGCTGTCATTTTAACAGTGATGAAGTGTGTTGGAGTGGGGTTTACCTCTAATTCCAGATGAATGAGCGTGATGAATGTGGGATAGATGAAGATAAAGGACGCTGAAGGATGATGATAGATGTCGCGCTCGAGGGGGGGGACGGTTGAACCGGAGTTGAGGAGCACTAAATAATCTACCTGACAACCACAGAGTTAAAGCAGACATGCTGTTAATTCTCTCTTTAAGCTCCGGCTCTCTCTCTCTCTCTCGTGTTGTTTTGCTGAATATTCAGTGTTTCGATTCTGCAAAGATTCATATTTAGGAAAACACAAGACCACACACGATGCTGCGCTCACCGCCGCTCGATACCCGTGAAGAATGTTATCTATTCTTATCTATTCATAACTGAAAGGCTACAGTGAGGCTCCCAGTCAAGGTTGAGGGGACGCCCCCCTCCCCGCACGCACTCAGCGAGACCGACCAAAACAAAAGATTCAGGTTGTAAACACAGCCGGAGCAGCTGACTGTGAGGAATGGCTTTCTTTGTGTGCGTGTATGTGTGTGTGTGTGTGTGTGTGTGTCCTTTTGAATGAATGAATGAAAGCATGAACGTGGAAATAGACCTTGTGTTTCCCTGTGTGTTCATGCAACAGGACAAACAACTGATTATTATGCAGAGATGGAGACCGATTATGTGCAAATACAGCGTTCGCCTTCACTTTAGATCATATGTGCTGCATCTTAAATATGTAATTATTCTATAAATTGGTAGATCTCTGTTAAGATATTAAAAAATTTAGAGTTTAGGTTCAATTTCCAGCTGAAAACATGTTGCATGTGTCCTGCTCGAGATGTAAATTTGCCACAGTGTCGACAGGCAGACTCAGATTTAGATTCGGTCGGACATTAGTGAGATGCTATCATGTCATGTGCATGTTTGTATTTGCAAACAGGACGGCACAGGTGCAGGTGAATGTGTAGTTTGTGTATATATGTGTGTGTTTGACTTGTGTTGAGCAGCAGATCAGGTCCTCTCCGGCTTTGTTCATCCACCATATAGAGTTCAGAGTAAAAACCTGCGGGCTTTACAGCGTCCACGGTCAATATTGACGTTTGAGCTGCAGATACTTCACTCACAGAGTCACCGACACTTTCTGGGTCCATTTGAAAAGTACTATGTCGTTGGAGTGAGAAAACCTGGATGTGTTTCACGGGAAGGAGGAGCATCTTTAATCAGAATACACTGGACTAGGGCTGGGCGATAAACCGAGAATTTACTGATACCGAAATTTACGACAATAACCGGCGTCAGTTTGCCCATATCCGTATATTCCAGTGTCAAATCGGCAAAAAAACTTGAAAAGGATTAAATGTTCGGCTAACTGTTCTGCAGAGAAACTAGCTTCTCTGTGCACTAGCGTCGTTGGCGTAGTTTAAAGGTGCCGTTTTACATTTTCTTTCTTTGTTGCTAAATGACCTGAAATAAAAAAATCTGGAAGTAAAGTTTGTTCATATTACTTTGTCATTACTGTTATCCGTTTAATTTACGTATATAACAGGCTAGGGGGTAGCACTCATTTTCTTAGTTTCTTACCATCAGTGCTGTCGGCTTCACCAGTTAAAGTGCTATGGTTGGGTGTAGCTGCTGTCTGCTATGACTGATTCAGCACATGGTTGGTTCAGCGTGGCGTGGACCCGGAGCAACTCCCCTTTTCATTGGCTATTCATATTGTCTACCAAAACATTGAAAAGCATATTGACAATGTTTATATTGATACTGAGGGACGTTCATTTTTGAAATATATCGTTATCGTTTTATCGCCCAGCCCTACCTCCAAACTATGTGTGAATAAACACAAGAGCTACACACCCAAAACCATTTTAATACCGCGCTCCAATCATGTTTAATGTAGTTGTAAAATTGTACATGATAATTTGGGACTTAATGGGATTTCACTGACTTTTGGAGCAGGCCCCAAGTGGACACTTAAGGTACTGCAGATTTTTTTTCTTTTTCTTTTATTTATTTGTTTTTTTTTTTGTAGTTTGCATTTTTAAAACGTTGCTGCTCAGTTTTACCAACATATATGCACAGAGGTGAGTCAACCAGGACTCAAAATCAGCCAGACTGAACCCGGTTCTCTCTTTGGTAGCGGTTCAGTTCTTGGGCAGTGTGACTCTGGACGTTAAAGAGCTTGGATTCAAAGCTCTGTCATTGTTGTCAGGCGCTGGACTCAAGACTTTGAGGAAAGTTTATAAAAAGGAGGGTATGTGTCCATCCTGAGTCCACCATCCTCATCCTCCTCTCTCGTCCTCCACTCCATCACTGTCCACATTCCTCTATCTCCTCCTTTTCACGTCCTCAGTGTGTGCCCACTCACCCTCTCTATTCTTCTTCCTCTCCTCTTTCAACCCACTCTCTCTATTTATCTCGTCCTCACAGCCGGTGTCCATTCATCCCGAATCAGCGGCTAAGTGCAGCGTAAAAGGACGACAACAAAATAACATAAAAAAAATCAGGACAGCATGAAAACAACTGGCTTCACGCTGCCTCTCCAGATGATATCGGCTTTTATCTGTGAAAGGAGGCATTAAAAACCCACTAACTCCTCAGCCCTCACCGCCTCCCCCCCAAGAAATTTCTGTTTCTATTATAAGACTTTCATTTTCACAATGAGCAGAGGTAATCACCTATCATATTTCCTGCTTGCATTCCTCACCCCCAGTGTATTTTAAGCTGCATCGCCTGCTGCCGACTCCCGCCTCATTCCCACTTTCTTTCATTACTCTGTTGACGTGACTGTTAAACTGAAACCGTCAAAAACGGGCCGTTAAAAAAAAACAAAAAAACACACACAAGCAAACAACAAAATTATTTTAAATAGGTCATTAGTGATTTGTTATTTACTCCTGCAAACAAGCTTCAACAGAGAAGCTGCTGCTGTCACATGTGCTGCCAAAATTTCTCTTATTTTTAATGTGATTTCTCTCTGATGTGACACGCCGCAACGCCACGCATATTTATCTCAACCAGGATGTGCTGACAGCCGCTGATGTCAGATAATTGTAGTTTTTTCTGTTTAATTCGAGTCTAAAAACTTTGGTTTTATCTCTGTTATTGCTCTTTTATTTGTTGAACTTGTGGTGACTTGAATTCCTCCTATTTGCGGCACGTTAAAGCGAATAATTCATCATGATAGCTCATAGAAGTCAGGAATCCTTCATCCTCGACAGAAATGTCCAAAGACTGAGTTCATATATCTGCTTTTGATCTGGTTTGGGCTCCTGCATTGTGGCATAAAGACGCGATAATAAGGTGTTGTTAAAGCTCAGGGTTAGGGTTAGATAGAGAAGGTCAAATAAATCTACCAAACCCATTTAGTCGTAGTTTTGGCGTTGTCAAAAGGTGCAAAGTCTGACTAGAGAAGAAAAGCAGCATCTTTAGAGAGCTTCTCAGCAGATAAAGATCTCTCAAATATCCAGGAGGACATCTTTGTCGACCTTAACCTCAGTGAACCAAAACCAGCAGATGACACGGCACCCTAAATTATCACAGACTGCAGAGACTGGACTCCAGACAACTTGGATTATGAGGAATCTAGACTCTGGGATCTTCATTTCCAAATAAAATGTAAGACTTTGGACCTCTGCGTGTCTGTCCGACATGAATCTGTTTGTGCTCGAGGTTTCTGCCTGTTGAAGAAAATTACTTTCATCTGAAAAACAGGACTTTGGACCTCTTCACCTCCCTTTCTCCCCTCTCTAAACCCAGCTCAGACTCTGCAGATGACTGTCTATCAATCTGGTTCTGCTTGAGGTTTCTGCCTGTTACATTCATCTGTAAACAGGACTTTGGACCTCTTCACCTCCCTTTCTCAACTCCCTAAACCCAGTTTAGCCTCAGGAGATGACTTTCTAACATCAATCTGGTTCTGCTCAAGGTTTCTGCCTGTTACATTCATCAAAAACAAGATTTTGGACCTCTGCATGTCTGTCTAACATCAGTCCGAATGTGCTCAAGGTTTCTGCCTGTTAAAGAAAATGACTTTCATCTGAAAACAGGACTTTGTATCTCTTTATCTCCCTCTCCTTCTTCCCTAAACCCCGCTCAGTCTCAGCAGATATTTGTCTAACATGAGTCTGGTTCTGCTCGAGGTTTCTACCTGTTACTTTCATCAAAAACAAGACTTTGGACCTCTGCATGTCTGTCTAACACGAGTCTGGTTCTGCTCGAGGTTTCTGCCTGTTATAGGAAGTTCTTCCTCTCCACAGTAATCCGATAAATGCTGTTCAGTGTTTCAGTCTCATCCCGTCTTTACACCGGGTCTTTGGACGGTCTTGACCAGCTTTTTTAGAGGAGTAATTTGGATTTAACAGAAACCCAACAGCAGGTAAATTCTTTGTTAAATTATGAATCCTGAAACAGGTGGAAATTCAAGTTTTGCAACAGAAATAATTCCACAAGAACAGACTGAACTCTCTCATATAGAGGGCACGACTCAAAGAAAGCAGCAGAAAGGAATCAAACCAGTCTGATCAAAAGAAAAGCAGCTAAATAATAAAAGAAGAAGAAGAAGAAGAAGAAGAGGAGCAGCAGAGAGATGAACCCCTGACCCAATAAACCATCACTGCACATATTTTCAACCATATTAGCATCTACGGCGCACGGTTCCTGACAATCAGCTCCATCATCTGTCCGTCCAGCCGTCACTCGGCCCGCCCACACCTGATGGAGCTGTTGGCGCTCGTCTTAACGGCCCTCAAGCCTTCTGAGCACGTTTCACGGCTGAGTTCACGGCTTTTGAAGGTGATGGAGCCTCTTTGGACTGTTGCTGCCACCAAAGAAAAGATCAAATGCACACGCTCACAATGCAGTCAACGATAAACTCCAGCCAATTATTATCTTTGTTTCTCCGCCCCAGGGGCCCCGGAGGCTTCGCCAACACAGGGACGGAGATGGGCGAGGGGCTGGGAGCGCATGTATGCTGATGTGTATGTCAGGTTGGAGGAGGGGGGGTGCAGCCAATCATGCGCCTGCCTCTGGGAAAACATCAGGCGCTCCAGTCACCATAAAAACATCATGAAGCACAGCCCTGGTTTCTTTTTCTCTGTCTTTATATTTCCATAAGAAGAAGACGCCGCTTTTAACTATTAAGGGGCCGACTCGCCGAGCAGACCGTTGCCATAGAAATGAGCAATAAAGGAGTCTGGGAGAATGAGTCCGCAGGGGGAGGGAGTGCAAGCGAGGTTGCGCTCAAGGTTGAGTCTGCTCTGACCCCCGCGGCCTTGTTACAATATATATGACCCATTTATGTCTCCATCCACTGTTGCAGCTGACCTTGGTGTTTACGAGGCCGCCGCGCCAGAAAAGGCCATCATACAATTGGCCTGATTCATGTGACATGTCGGCTAAACAACGGGCTTGTTACCCCCAACACGCCGGCCCCGCCAGCTCGTAGCGGTTGCTATATATCTGCGGGCAGAGATGTATTAGCTCGGAGCTCAAGGCGTTTTTCTGACAGGTAGATTTAGTTACCTGTTAGGATCGATACAAGACCCTGTAACAGTTAACAGACGCAGGGCTTCATATATGTCGCTGACATTTTCCAAAATGACTTTATAGATTTTGTGCAGCTGCAGCTCCACTATGAAAGTTGTTCATGTTAAAGGCTCTTAAACAAATAGAAAAGACCATAAATCATCCAGCCTCAGAGTTTATCTCCTCTGAAGCTTAAATTCAGTTTATTCCTCTCTTTCTCTGCTACTGCACGGGGATATCAGAGATGTTTTGTTTTGTACGAGCCCCTTCCTGCGACCTGCAGTAGGCCGGCTGTGCGCCGAGGAAGCGGGAGATAAAAGGCCGGCTACGTCGAAAATGTTCAAAAGCGGTAAACATCAGCGCTGCCTTTTGTGACGGCAGATCGACTGGGTGCAGCGTCTGCTTCCTCGACGCCTGTGGAGGCTCTGAGCGCGCCGGTTACCTCAGCCTCGGGCAGGATGACAGCTTGTCAAGATGACTGACAAGTGTGTGAGAGTGTGGGACTGCAGCTATACACTCCTTATCTGAAGTTTGGGAGTTAAATACGGTAGTTTGGGAGGAAGACACTCTTCATACTGCTGTGGAGGAGTGACTTTGCTGCATTTGTTATTTTGGTCTTAATTAAAAAGAGTCTCATATTGTGTAGAGGAGCTGTGATCAACCTCTGCGCCCTTGAGAAGTAGGCGTCAGTAGGCAAATAGTCATTCTCTCCTCATTTAAAAATCTTCTTTTCGCTGCAGACTTTTATCTCCCAGAGAGAGAAAACCGAGGTTTCATTTCAAGGTTCAGGGTGCTCTGCTGTTGCTGGAGAAACTTGGAGATTTTAATGGGACACTTGTGAAGATGAAATGAAGAAAACTGAGTCATGTCTGCAGAGTGGTTTTATGAGCGAGCCTCAAAACAAGAGCTGCATTTCCATACGGCTCCATATTAGAAATCGAAAACTGGTCTTTTCCTGTTACTTTCAAACGTTGGTAAAAACTGTAGATTTCAACAAGTAGTTTGAGTTAGTGTTCTGCAGAACTAGTTCCTGCAAAAGTCTAGTTTTTAAACTAATTCTTGGTTTTTGCAGGTGCCTGATTTGCAGAGGGATTGCATTGCTTCTGTACAAGCTAACTGTTCTGCAGAGAAACTAGCTTCTCTGTGCATTAGCGTCGTTTGCATAGTTTAAAATGTGCCGTTGTACATTTTCTTTCTTTGTTTGTTGCTAAATGACCTTAAAAAAAAATCTGGAAGAAAAATTTGTTTAAATTACTTCATTACACGATTACTGTTATTCATTTAATCCACGGTTATATGAGGCTAGGGCTGGGCGATGAACCGAAAAATTTACCGATACCGAAATTTACGGCAATAACGGACGTTATTTTGCCCGTATTGGTACAGTCGGAGTCAAAAAAATAAATCAATGAAGGTTGGTTTTTGGATGTGTGAAGGTAGGCCAGGGCTGGGCGATACGGGAAAATGTTTATCACGATATATTTTTTTCATCTCAGAAGATATCGATATTTATCACGATATAAAAAATTAAATCTAACAGTGTTTATTGGTAGCATGTCTTTTCCAATACAATAATCTCCTGCATCTGTGAGGTCTTTGCGTCTCTTTGACGTTTGGTCGTAAGGCGTCGCTCTAGAGAAAGCCGACTGAATGGTCGGCTGTTTCGGCTGCACAGGCGCCATAGGCTCCTGGCTGTGGTCAAGGGTTGTAACCTTTTGTGCGTGCTCTGTGGCGTGGTGTGATTTCACTCCATCCAGGAGATGGAGGATGGTTGAAAAGTTGGAGTGGTGGCTGAAGTAGACGAAGTAAATGTTGGAGCAGTTTGCTTGTGGATTCGTTATCGTCCATTTATCATTATCGAGTTTGGTTTGAGGTCATATCGCCCCGCCCTACATCAGGTCCAGACTATCATGTGGAAAGAAGCATTTTGTTCTTGAAGTCGCTGCAAGCTAAATTTTGCTATCTCACTTTTGGAAATTAGCTGGATAGACACTGAAAATTCGTCATTAAATTGTAAAAAAAAAAAACGTTTCTCTCCAATCAGCTCATCTTATATGAAGATAGATTTTTGCAGCGTCAGGATGAGAGTGTACAGCGCAGCTCTGTGCAGGAGGCCGCAGAGATGCTGACAGCTCCTCTTAGTCAGATACAAAACGAGCAAACTGCACAGAGCTGCAGAAGAACCTGGAGATGGAGCAGGTAAAAGTTCTGGTGCAGTTAGCAGCGACACTTCGGTACCTTGATCGCTGATTAGCCACCTTAACTCAGATATGACGCTGCTATATACGCAAGCTTCTCACTTCTCACCTCTCACCTCACCTCTACGTTTCCACTTCTGATCTAACTTTACACTCTTCATATTTATTGTTTATTATTCGTTCATTTAATTTAATCTGTTCTAAGTTAATTTGGGTTCTCGTGGCTCACAAACAGGGTTAGCTGGGAGCTTTAACACCACACCACACATCAGCAGCAGCAGCAGAATAACACGTCCCACAGGCGCCTCGTTTTTTTGTTTCATTGACAGAAATTGCAGAATATGTTCAGAAGTTGAAGGCAATTTTAACATCCTCATAAAACAGATTTCTCCCTCCGACACGAGAGCTTTCATATTGGAGGAATATTTCTCCCCCTGATGTGGAAACTCTAGTTGACTGTGCTGTTTGGTGATAAAACTGCTGTGGAAAAAAATGCAAACAGTTCCCTGAGCGTCGCAGTAAAGTGGTTCAGATTTTCCTGACAGGTATTAGAAGCTCTTTGCTTTGTAGCTCGATGCATAAATTCTCTCTTTTTCCATCCGTGAGCGTCTCTCAGGTCGAGCTAAAACACATCCGCCCACTTGCTCCTGAGTAAAGTTTCATGCTTTACTGTTTGAATTTTTGGGATTTCTGCATAATTTGCACTTTGAATTAGAAACTGTTCATTTTCTGACGTTATCGCCTTCGTGAGTCAAAGTAAACATCGTAGACGAACCCTTGCACTGAGTCATGACACTTGATTTAATACAATTAATCCCCACCCCTGACCCTCCGCTCCTCTTTCCCAGCATCCCCCACCCCTGAGGTTGCGGCGCAGCACGGGTCCCAGCTGCGTGGAAGCGAGCCTGAGTGCATCTCGCGGTTGCCATCGCAACCTCATAAGCCACAGGCGTCTCTGGGCGCCGAGCGCGAGGATGTATGTAGTGTTTACATAGAGAGACGGCAATGAGATGATTAAAAAAAGAGGGGAACGCACACGCGGAGAGGCGGCGGAGGAAATGACAACGCTTCATTTGGAGATTCAAAAAGCTGCGTTTGGAGCGGGGAGGCGCCGCAGCCTGGGTGTCATTTTTATGAATAATTCCTTTTATTTGATTATGCACTTTCAAAAGTTGGCTCTTTTGATCAAAACAGTGTCAGGCTGTTCACAGGTGCGGCTGCCTGCGTCCTTGTAGCCTGTTTTTTTTTTCCATTTGGATGCTGTTTTTGAAGAGTTGTGGTTCAAAATGCTTTAAATTCGTTGCGCTGAAATAAACATAAAAGTTATCAGAGACAGAAGTGCCAGGGTCACACGCCTCTCTCAACAAGTTAGTTTTCATTTTCAGTCATTAGACTTCACAGACGCGCAGGTACAACCACAAGTTTTCTGTTTCAAAGGCAGAGCGCCCTTGAGCAAAACGTGAGGGGAGCCGCCCGTTGTTAAACAGACAAAACTCCCCGTCTACAAGGTTTTCGCGGAAGAAAAAAGAGCATTTGTGTGCACTTTAGTCTGTAAAGGTCTTTTATCTGGTGTCACTACTGGCCTTGTGGGGTGTGAAACAAGGACAACTATGAAAAGAAGTGTTTTCTTTTTCGAATCACCAACCCTGAACATCCTGGAAAAGAAAATCCAACCGGCTGCATCAATTTTACACCGGTTTTAGAGCTCCAGGATTTATCAGGTTCCAGTTTCAGTCGGGATTATGGATCCCTGTGAACACGACAATAATTGGGATTTGGTCTTTCTTGCTCGTTTTGTCCTTAATGGTAAATTAAGTGTCCTCCTCTTTTGTCTTTAAAAGCAGCTCCTACTTTTAGGTCGGCATGAACAGCTCAGATCAGGAGGAGAGAGGAGAACAGGGAGAGGAGGAGGCGGAGGAAGGTGTGTGCGCCTGAAAAGCCAAGGGACGGTGTTAGCTAGGGTCCTCGTTTTGATTCTGGTTCCTACAGATTCTCTATTCGGATTCTTTTAAAAGGCAGGATATTAAAAATATGATATCTAAGACCTTAAACCACGAGAGAATTACTTTAATTATATCTGATAGAGTTAAATCAACAACCAGCAGATTAGCTCGATCATGATTTTATTAGGAAGTCAACACTGACTATTGATTTCCTCTGAAATTGAACCTCCAACACTCCTCAATGAGTCTCGTGTTTATTTGACCCGAACATCCACCTTCACAGACGCCCAGATGAACCTCTGGACTCCTGGTTCTGGCGTTGATGTTTGAAGTTACCACGGTTACAAACTTTGAGGGAGGGTACAGAGTCGTCCTTCATTTCATCCAAATGACTATCGATAATTTCACCAAAGACGTCCTCGATCTCCTTCAGACGTGTTTTCTCGGTACGATAGATCGCCTTTTTACGACTTTATTTGGGTTATAAAGTGAATGTGAGAAGCAGTCCGCACACTACCCTTGAATCCGATCAATTAAAATGATTGTTTGTTTCATAAATACCTTCACTTTTTATCGGTTATTAGAGGAAATAAAGTGATGAAGCTGCTGTACAGACTGACAGTGTCTCAGAGCTGATTGAACAGATTCTTATCAACACAAACTGAAGTAAGAAATTAAAGACACACTGTGATTACCAGACGATGAACATGTTGATGATAAGCTTCTTGGCAATCGGGGCCTCTTAATAAGTATTTATTGGGAGCTAATAGGCTGTGGGCTCGTGACTCGGCAGCCATTAGCAGGTAATTGCTAATTAATTAGCTTTGTGAACTCACCCAATTAGAGAAATATGAGGCCATTAAGGAATAACCGAAGGATCGTTAGTGTCAAGTATGCAAATAAATGTTTACTCATTAGGAGAAATCCACCCAAGGAAAACGATGAGGTAGTGTTGGGAGTTTTTGTCCAGATTGGCAGGATGAATTAAAGATTTAATGACCTCGAGGCCAAAGAAAGCGAATCCGTCTATTCTGGAGATATTTTGACTTC